TATATATTGATTAATAAATCCAAAGCTATCGGATCACCTCTTTGTCCTAAAATTAACATTTAAATCAAGTATTAATATTAAGATTTGCATATTACAAACTACATCTCAAATTAATAACCTGGTGGTCCATCATAACCAGGGTCTCCTGGTAAGCCTTTAATACCAGGTTGACCTGGGAGTCCGGGTAATGCATTGAGTGCTTCACCTAATTCACCTTTAAAACCGGGCACTCCAGGCAGACCTGGATACAATATATGCAAATATAAATTAGAATAACACTGCTTGAATTTGTTAATAATAATAATTACCCTGCAATCCAGGCAACCCTGGTGGTCCTATTTCTCCATAATCACCCTACAAATGATATAATGTTTATTATAGGTATATATTAAATGAAAACAATTGAAAACCTGCTCTCCTTTAAGGCCAGGAATTCCACTCATTCCAGGAAAGCCCGAAAGCCCTGAAAACAACCGATGTTTTTGTTAAATAGAATAATAAAGTGATATTTGTTTAAATTTTATACAATAAAATAATAATTGATACCTTGGTGCCCTGGTCGTCCAGGTTGTCCTGGATATCCAGGATCTCCCATATCTCCTTTGGTCACTTCACCAGATGTAGGATAAATAAGTTCTCCGGTTTCTCCTTTCCTTCCGGGAAGACCTGAATATATCACATAAATATGAATTTATTAATTTAAATAAATATCAATATATCGTTTGTAATGTCTATAAGAATCATACCTTGCTCCCCATCAACACCAGGCAAACCCTACAACAGAAATATTTGCAACAATTAAAATCACAACATATTATTGAAACCATAATCAATTAGATTACATGAAAGCCTTTGAGACCATGAAGACCGGGATGTCCTCTGTCGCCTTTCCGACCCGAATATCCAATTTCTCCCACAAAACCATTTCTTCCAATCAAACCTTTGAAATGTTATCATTTAATACAATCATATTTGTGTTTATATATCAAATTCAATTAAGACCTGGTCTGCCATCATCTCCCTTATCACCCACAGCACCGTTTCTCCCTGGTGAACACCGGGGACAGTCGTCCCCTCGAGGGCCTGGAACACCGGGTATTCCATCAGGTCCATCGCCACCAGGAATTCCTTTAATAAATAATAATTAACATCAAGGATAATAAATATTTATACTGTATTTACAAACCTGGATCTCCGGGATACCCCGGTAAACCAGGAGAACCTTGATGTCCTTGTCTGGGAACTCCATGTCCAGGATAACCCTTTTCACCTGAAATAAGAGTATTACAGAGTATTTAATACAATGAATAATATTTGTGTTGACTATTCATTGAATACCTGGAAACCCCGCTTCTCCCCAAACGCCTGGCAAACCTGGCATACCATCAAATCCTGGTCGACCGGACTCTCCAGGAGGGCCCATAACATCTATCCCAGGTCCTCCTTGTTCTCCATACGTACCCTTAATTTATAAATTTCATTAAAAATAAAAATATCAAAACCATAAAATGCTTACTTGACGTCCGGGTGTTCCCGGTCGACCCCTATAACCAGGAATTCCAGGAAATCCTTTAAATATATTTATTATTAAATTTACAATTAATTCTAAATTCATGTTCTTATACTGTATTAACATTTAAAATACAATATATGTATGTTTAGATTATAAAAGCAAATTCTATATTTTATTCTATTATTCAAATATAAGATAATTAAAACATATATATTATGATATAATATTAGTGTAAAGAATTGTAAAAACATCAAAGAAATGAGCACATACACGCCCAGAATATTGTCTACACTAACATTGTAAGATTAACACTTTCAAACTACTGTCAGATCATGACAGCAATAAAGATTATGTAAATAAAGCTTACAATTAAATTGTTCATGTTTAAAAAATATTTTATATAAGTATAATTTTATTATATAATTTTTATATTTAGAAATTCAAATTTAAATATATTGATACTTAATATGTTTTAATAAAAATATCAAATCTTTTTTATTTGAATAGCGCTGTAATGGCTGTACAGTTCAACCCTGTTTTTGCATCGGCGAACCGGGAACTCCAGTATGTTATTTTATATGAATTTAATATAAATTTAAAAATTGAAATAAATAATAATTTTAGAAATAAACTCAAGTTTTATTATATTAAACTCGTAATAAGTTACTATCCATATGATTTTTCGGAATTATAATAATAATAATAATAAAGCAAATTATATTATGTAGGAATTTAGTTTAGTTTAGTTTAGTGGAAGTCTTAAAATAGATTTTTAAAACAAAGTTTAGAAATATACTAAAAAGATAAACAAATTTTGCGGTTGTCTTAGAGTTGACAAAAGTGTTGATATATTAAGGCTAGAGTTGCAAATCTACATTTAAAAAATAATTTTAAATTATTAGTTGACAAAAAGGGCGACATTTTGAATAGAATTAGTTTTTAAGAAACATTACAAGAGTACAAAAAAGTGTATTTTTATTTCTCATTTTAAAAAATAATAAAGAATTTATTTTATTTTTAAATCAAAAAATAAGTTATCGTTAAATTAAAAATTATAATTGCCAGAATATTCTTTATGTTTTATAATTTATCTTTAAGTTTAGTCAAAATTATTTATAATTAATTTTTTAGTAAAATTTAAATCTTAAAAAAGTATAATTTTAAATTTTAACTAATTAAAAAATATTAAATTAGATATACCGGTAACTTCAAAAAAGATATTAAGTTATATTATATTTATATAATAAAATGTGAAATAAGTTTTATATCTAGGGGGCATTTTCGGCCACTATATTACATGTCCCATCCTTAGCTTTAATAAAACTTGAGTTTTAATTTTGTTACAAATAATAAAGTTTTTAACTCATTGTTATTTTAAAAGTTATATTTGTATTATTATTTGTAAGTACTTTCCCATAGTCAGAGTACCTAACTTATTGTATTTTAATTTATATTTTGTATACAGATATAAGAAATACTCTTGTAATGTATTGTTAGTCAGTCTTATTGTAGACTTTGAATGAAATACGTGTTAAGTGTGGTTTATGTCTGATAGTCATACCATTATAACCTTCCCGGCCATACAGTAGTCTTGTCTTGATTTTATTGTATCTCATATTTATTTTATTTTATTTAAAACTCACATATTTAGGGATATCCAGGAATACCTGGTTTACAAGGATCTCAAGGAATACCTGGACCAATAGGACAAGAAGGTCCGCCCGGTCCTATTGGTCTTAGAGGTGATGAGGGAGACTTCGGGCAAATTGGACCAAAAGGTCAGTCAATTTACCTTGTTCATTTGTGCTTGTTAACTATTACTATTAATTTTATGTTATACTTAAATAGGAATCAGAGGTGATATAGGAGCACCTGGGTTTAATGGTCCCCCAGGAATACCGGTTAGCATTACTTGAGTTAATTTGTTAAAATTTTATTGACACAAATGCATAATACAGGGATTGCCGGGACTGGAGGGAGAGTTAGGCGAACGAGGATTTGATGGATGCAATGGTATTCAACAATAAAGTAATTTTGATAAACAATATTCAATAGTAGTGTCTTATTAAAGGAACTGATGGAAGATCTGGTTACCCTGGGCCACCAGGTTACCCGGGACAGGCAGGCAGAACTGGGAATCCGGGAGATGAAGGACCAAAAGTATATCCATTTTTATAGATTTAGTTGTGTTGTCATATTTAAATTAAGTAACATATGACAATTTAGGATATACACTATGCCTTTATATTATACTAATATTTGTTTTTTTAATAACAGGGAGAACCCGGTTTGAAATTCATTGGTTATAACGATGTATCAAATTTTATGAATATATATGACATGACTAGGAATGGGAGGAATCAATTCGGTTGGAATTAAAGGAGAGCCCGGTTTGGATGGGATTTCGGGAATCAGAGGTCTTCCAGGGTCTGCGGGATATCCGGGGGATAAGGGTGGCCCTGGGTTTATGGGCAGTCAGGTCTTTATAACAATTTTGTTAATATACTGTATCTTTATATTATTATATTTTACATTAAAGGGCCACAAAGGTGATATGGGAGATTTAGGACCTCAAGGACCAGGAGGTAATATAAATTAAATACATCTTTATATTAATTTTACAACATGTTTTGACTTTTAATAAAATATATTTTCATATTACCGGTGTACTACTGATAGTATACTATAATTATAAAAAAAAGTATTGCGAAAATTTATTAAACATTGAATGAGACAGTTAATCCTGTATTGAAAATTTTTAAAACTTATATAAAATTATATATTCAGTTACTTTAAATAATGTCAACATTTAGGTGATTCTACATATGGCCCAAAGGGACCAAAAGGCGAAAGTGGAGCGCCGGGAGACCCTGGACCTGCCTTGCTAGGTAATTATTAATATTATTGCCCCAGTTTATTACAATCATATTTTTAATTAAATTAAAATTGTCAAAATTTAATCAAAAGTAAATAGCTTTAAAAGATTTTCTTATCCAGAATATTCTAATCTTATTTTGAATTTGAAAAATCTTCTTTTAAAATATTCAACTAATGGTTAATCATATAATTGAATACAGAGTATGTTAAGCCACCCGATGTCACTCTAGAACCAGGAGTTCCGGGGATTAAAGGAGAAAAAGTATATCAATTAATCACTTGTTTTATATTAATTACATCTTTTAATAGATAATTATTTGCTATAAATTTAGGGCATGATAGGAGACAAAGGCCAGAGAGGGCTCATCGGTAATAAAGGGCAAGAAGTAAGTGTTCTCTCAAAACTAATGGTAATTATTTGTATTACATTTGTTTAACATTGCTTTCAAGGGAATGAAGGGAATGCCGGGCCCTCGAGCTCTAAAGGGAGACATAGGAGAGGATGGCCCTCGAGTGAGACACACTTTATACCTATTTTCGAACAAATAATTTCTAGAATTTCATGTCAGGGTAAAAGAGGGAAACCCGGGTCTAGCGGGGAGTCGGGTGGTAAGGGACAGAAGGGTGAGCCTGGGTTTGATGGCGACAATGGAAGAAGTGGAGCCAAGGTTTGAATGAAAATCATTAATGTTTGCGGTATTTAGTGAACTGTAACGGCAGGGTCTTCACGGTGATGGTGGTCTTCCAGGTCGACCCGGTCCGCAAGGAGGACAGGGACCTAAGGGTGAACTCATAGAGACAGGAAAGCCGATAATAGGTCCGCCAGGAATGCAGGGACATCCGGGAGATGTGGGCCCTCCAGGAATTTTTGGCAAACCAGGTGCTCCGGGACCAACTGGTTATCAGGGGTTGGTTGGACAACCCGGACCACCAGGATATGAGGGGGAACCCGGGCCCCCAGGGTTTTCATTTAAAGGAGATTCAGGAGACAACGGTAGTGAACATGAATTTAGAATTAATTGTAAATTTAATAATAAATATATTTAAAGGATTTCCTGGAATTCCTGGTTATAGGGGTCGACCGGGAACACCCGGACGTCAAGTAAGCATTTTATGGTTTTGATATATATTTTTAATGAAATTTATAAATTAAGGGTACGTATGGAGAACAAGGAGAACCTGGGATAGATGTTATGGGCCCTCCTGGAGAGTCCGGTCGACCAGGATTTGATGGTATGCCAGGTTTGCCAGGCGTTTGGGGAGAAGCGGGGTTTCCAGGTATTCAATTAATAGTAAACACAAATATGATTCATTGTATTAAATACTCTGTAATACTCTTATTTCAGGTGAAAAGGGTTATCCTGGACATGGAGTTCCCAGACAAGGACATCAAGGTTCTCCTGGTTTACCGGGGTATCCTGGAGATCCAGGTTTGTAAATACAGTATAAATATTTATTATCTTTGATGTGAATTATTATTTATTAAAGGAATTCCTGGTGGCGATGGACCTGATGGAATACCCGGTGTTCCAGGCCCTCGAGGGGACGACTGTCCCCGGTGTTCACCAGGGAGAAACGGTGCTGTGGGTGATAAGGGAGATGATGGCAGACCAGGTCTTAATTGAATTTGATATATAAACACAAATATGATTGTATTAAATGATAACATTTCAAAGGTTTGATTGGAAGAAATGGTTTTGTGGGAGAAATTGGATATTCGGGTCGGAAAGGCGACAGAGGACATCCCGGTCTTCATGGTCTCAAAGGCTTTCATGTAATCTAATTTATTATGGTTTCAATAATATGTTGTGGTTTTAATTGTTGCAAATATTTTGTTGTAGGGTTTGCCTGGTGTTGATGGGGAACAGGGTATGATTCTTATAGACATACAAACGATATATTGATATTTATTTAAATTAATAAATTCATATTTATGTGATATATTCAGGTCTTCCCGGAAGGAAAGGAGAAACCGGAGAACTTATTTATCCTAAATCTGGTGAAGTGACCAAAGGAGATATGGGAGATCCTGGATATCCAGGACAACCTGGACGACCAGGGCACCAAGGTATCAATTATTATTTTATCACTTTATTATTCTATTTAACAAAAACATCGGTTGTTTTCAGGGCTTTCGGGCTTTCCTGGAATGAGTGGAATTCCTGGCCTTAAAGGAGAGCAGGTTTTCAATTGTTTTAATTTAATATATACCTATAATAAACATTATATCATTTGTAGGGTGATTATGGAGAAATAGGACCACCAGGGTTGCCTGGATTGCAGGGTAATTATTATTATTAACAAATTCAAGCAGTGTTATTCTAATTTATATTTGCATATATTGTATCCAGGTCTGCCTGGAGTGCCCGGTTTTAAAGGTGAATTAGGTGAAGCACTCAATGCATTACCCGGACTCCCAGGTCAACCTGGTATTAAAGGCTTACCAGGAGACCCTGGTTATGATGGACCACCAGGTTATTAATTTGAGATGTAGTTTGTATTATGCAAATCTTAATATTAATACTTGATTTAAATGTTAATTTTAGGACAAAGAGGTGATCCGATAGCTTTGGATTTATTAATCAATATATACCAGGGTCCTAAAGGTATTCCTGGCACCAGAGGTCCGCGAGGAGATGAAGGGTTGGCCGGTCTGTACATCATTTTCAAATGTAATTTAGAAAAATTTGATTTTTTAATTTGTTGTCTTATTTGATGAATAGCACCGCCCGGTCTGCCAGGAAATGACGGTCAACCCGGTTATCCAGGACAAAAAGGAGAACCAGGAAGACATGGCTATTCAAGTCCAGGAGAGGCAGGATTTAAGGGGCATCCTGGAAGTCCTGGTGACCCGGGAAACAGAGGACCTTCTGGTCTACCCGGTCGTAGAGGAGATGACGGTTTGCCCGGATATCCCGGGAATAAAGTTTGATTACAATTATACTTACTTTAGTCAATAAATTCTTATAAGATTCAAATACACTTAAGGGAGAAGTTGGTGACTCTGGTTATGACGGATACAGTGGACCTCCAGGGCCACCAGGAATCCCGGGTTCTAAAGGTCACCATGGAGATAGCGGTCCTTCCGGTCTAGTTGGGTTACCAGGCAATCAGGGTTTACCGGGTTTCCCTGGAGTCAAAGGCGCACCGGGATATACGGGAATGGATGGCGCAACAGGAGATAAGGGTGAACATGGAGAAGCGGGTGAGGGTACAAGAGGTCCACCTGGAAAACCTGGTGTTTATGGATATCAAGGTATTGTATATTTCTAACATATCAGTAAACTTTTAAATGGTTTTCATATACAATAGGTCTTAGAGGAGACAGAGGAGAACCCGGAGATGGAGGTCCTCCCGGACTCTACGGACTGAAAGTATTGTTTACAGTGTTTGTTCAAATATCTTTACAACAAATAATTTTATTAAAAACTGTAAAAAGGGTCTAAAGGGGAACGAAGGGTCTCATGGGTTGTCCGGTTTGCCCGGAAAGCAGGGAAACAGAGGTATACCGGGAAGACCAGGTCATGATGGACTTCCAGGTTTTCCAGGTTTGTCAAACTTTTTTAATTTCCATGTATTTATACAACAAATTATTTATTGGCAACAATTGAATTTCAGGCATCAAAGGGGACAGAAGTGACCCGAATATAGAGGGTCTGAATGGCCCAAGAGGTTCACCAGGGCGTCCAGGAATACCTGGGGAGCTCGGTATGTTGTCATTGCTGAATTATTAATAAATTTTAACAAAAAATGTCTTTTAATGTTATTGCACAGGAGGTAGAGGAGATGACGGTTTTGGGGGCTGGCCAGGCAGGGATGGTCTTCCCGGACCTAAAGGGCCACCCGGGGAACCAGGAATACAGGGTTTACCTGGAATTAGAGGCCTGTCCAGTACTAAAGGTGGAAAAGGAGAGCGTGGAGATCCCGGGTTTAGAGGTTGTAATGAATTTATAAAATATTTAAATACTAAGTTTGAATTGATATCAAGGGCTCGACGGTTATGAGGGACCACCCGGTCTAATAGGATTACCCGGTCCCAAAGGTTAGTTGATATATACATTATAATAATAAAAGTGCAGTATATAACATATTTTATTAAATGTTAGGAATGGCGGGTGACATAGGAATGGCATTATTAGCCGAACCAGGAATTGAAGGAGAAAGAGGACAAAAGGGAATTCCCGGTCTCCCCGGCCTTCCGGGATTGAAAGGCTTGATGGGAGATATGGGAACACCGGGAACTCCCGGACAATTTGGAGATGCAGGTTATGATGGATTTCCCGGACTCAATGGACTACCCGGACGTAATGGCTATAGAGGAGACAATGGACTGACAGGATTGCCTGGTATTACAAAAATGAGCGATAAAATTATATTTATTTGAATGTCTTATTTAAAAATAGGTTTCGTTGGAATGAAAGGAGAGCCGGGGTTTGTGGGGATCCCGGGTCTGAACGGAATCAAAGGAGACCCGGGATTTCATGGTATCCCCGGAATTGTTGGGCCTAAAGGAGAGCGCGGAGTCCAAGGTTTACTTGAGCCTAATATATGAGAAATTATAAAGAAATGATTGCAAATTCTTATTAGGAATGCCGTCCTGGGAGGGCAACAGAGGTGATGCGGGGGATGCAGGTCTGCCCGGTCTTTCTGGCTTACCTGGTTCCAGAGGAGATGATGGCTTTCCCGGTCAGCCCGGATTTGATGGCCTAACGGGTGACCGAGGAGTTCCTGGAAAGCCTGGTTTATCCGGATTAACAGGACCAAAGGGATATACGGTATGATATTTTGACTATTCTATGATTTTAACAATTTGTTTATTAATATATAACTAAATGTCAAATATAGGGACGAATGGGAGCACGCGGTCGTTCTGGGAGAGCATATAATCACACATGTATTCAATATATACTTATTTATAAACATTTTTCCATTCATTCATACATATTATTCATTAAATATAGTTCCTATTATTGGAGATCCAGGGCCCCCAGGGTATCCCGGAACTCCTGGATGGCCTGGACAAAAAGGACTGCCCGGTGAACATGGTTTAGATGGAATCCCGGGTTTGCCTGGATATCCTGGATATCAAGACTCTGGTAACATAGGAGAGCGAGGAGATACTGGATTTGACGGGCTTCCCGGTATGTCTTCTGGGATTCAATGATTCACTTTTTAATTCAATTCAGTTAATAATATAGTATATAATATATTAATAATAATATAGTAAATCAATTAATATAATATTATTTATAATGATAAACCACTAAATATCTATTAAAGGAGTGGATGGCCACCGAGGCTTAAAAGGGTTAACCGGACTTCCAGGTCTTTCCGGATTCAAAGGAGAAATGGGTGAACCGGGATATCCAGGTCCCCCACGATTCCCAGGAGCTAAAGGAGAAATGGTTTGTTATGATGTGATTTGTTTAAAATTCATGAAAAGGCATATTATATGCATTAATATAGGGTTTCAATGGATTACCGGGTCTACCAGGCCTTAAAGGAGATTACGGAGATTCAGGACTTCCGGGTTATCCCGGAACCAAAGGCGAGAGAGGAGACAATGGATTCCCGGGATTACCAGGGGTAGACGGGATACCAGGATTAGGCGGTATTTAGTTTGAAATGCAGTAAATTTAATAATATTTAAATATAACTGAAATAACAAAACAGGAGATGCGGGAGAAAAAGGCGATCCACCGATAGTTAGACCCGAAGATCTGGTGGCAGTTAAAGGAGACCCCGGTTTGCAATTATTCTCATTTCAAAAGTTCAAATATCTATTATTTTAAACAATTTATTTTTTCTATAGGATCACCGGGATATCCAGGACCTATGGGTGACCCTGGACTTGACGGGCTACCAGGTATGGACGGAAATCCTGGATTTCAAGGAAACCCTGGAATGCCGGGATTTCCAGGTCTTCCTGGTCTTAGTGGAGACGCTGGATATGACGGTTAGTCTTATGATAAGTGAAATAAATGATAATTTTATACGATTTAAATGTAATCTCTAGGAAGAGAAGGAATTCCTGGACCGGTAGGCGATTTCGGATCGCCCGGAGAGCGAGGAAAGTCTGGAAGGAAAGCGCCTTCAATCGGATATTTTTTCACCAGGTTCATAGTATTTGAAGTGAACCCACACAAAATAAATTAATACCGTATTTGTTTAACTGGCTTAACAGACACAGTCAGACCACGAGATCACCCGAATGTCCGAATAAAACACACGTCTTGTGGTCGGGCTATTCGTTGCTGTATATTATGGGTAACGAAAGGTAGGAATTCATAAATGAACCCAAATGTACTGGATTATATATTTTGAAAATGACAAACAGAGCTCACGGCCAAGACTTGGGAAGTCCTGGCAGTTGTTTGCGACGGTTCAGTACAATGCCGTATATGTTCTGTAATCTCAATAATGTCTGTCACTTCGCTTCAAGAAATGATTACAGCTATTGGTTGAGTACATCAGAACCGATGCCAATGGCTATGACTCCTATATATGGCCGAGAAATTCAGAAATTCATCAGTAGATGCAGTGTTTGTGAATCAGAGACACAAGTGATAGCAATCCACAGCCAGAGTATGCATATCCCTGACTGTCCTAATGGTTGGGAAGGACTTTGGATCGGATACAGCTTTTTCATGGTTTGTATTATTCTGACTGTAATTGAAACATTTGTATGCAAATTATTAATCATACAAATGGCAAACATCTATTGTTGCAGAACACAGACGCCGGTGCGGAAGGCAGTGGTCAACCCCTGTCCTCTCCAGGCTCTTGTTTGGAAGACTTTAGACCCAATCCCTTCATTGAATGTCAGGGTCACGGAAAGTGCAACTACTATACGACTGCTTACAGCTTCTGGTTGGCCACCATTGAACACAACGATCAGTTCAGATCTCCCGACTCCCAGACACTGAAATCAGGAGATTTGATCTCAAAGGTGTCGCGCTGTCAGGTCTGCATCAGAAAAGCGGTTCCCATTCGACGACCGCAACCAACTATCAACAGATCCTTACCCGTCAAAAAGTGATACATTAGTTCATAAATCCACTGCCATTTAAATAAATTAATTTTATTTGTTTTAATATGACTTTTGGACACAAATTATAATTTAAATCAATTGCTTTCAATGTCTATATCTATAAAATCAAGTTTTTCAAATTTTGTTATATCAATATTTAAAAAACAATTTTCAAGTTGTATTTATCGACGATAATAATTAAATTCTAGTCAAAGATTTAATTAAAAAATTATTTGTTATTCTGAAAGCTTTGTAACAGATTTTATTCTGGAACCGGACTTAACGTACAGGTAGGCCAGGGATGACATTCACAAATATATCGGTATTATAGTTATAGTGCGGCACACTTTTGATAAGTCAAACATTGTATCCGTATTAATCACTGTTGGCATTTGTGCTCCATTCACATCTATATAACTATTTTCTATAGTTAGCCATAAACTTGATAGCATTCACAATATTCATAAACTTCACAAACATGAGAGAGAGAGAGAGCGAGAGAGAGAGCGAGAGAGCTATAGGATTACCTTGTAAGTTTTGAAATACAGTATATTTATTGAATTGAAATTATATGCAAATAATAATAGTTTGCGAGCAAATGAAACCAAAATATATGACATCTGATGGCAAGTGATTGAAGGGATTAAAAGACGACTAAAATAGAGATATAATGAAAGGAATGGCATTTAAGCGGAAGAGAGGCCGAGAAGGAAACCGCCGGCAAATCCTGAGGCCATCACAGCGTTGTCTGAAGCAAAGCGTTTCACTTTAGAGACCATATGCGGGAACTCCTTATCCTTGCGTTTATTAAACTCCTTTTTGGCTAAATCCAAGTCTCGATTCAATCGCTTCCAATCGACTCTTATGTATCCGTTATAGTGAGCCAACTGTGCATACATTGAGTCAAATGAAGTTAAGTGTCATTGAAAGCACTGCTAATCATGTCATACATTGAGGAGGAGGAATGTGCCGCCAATGGCCGCACCGGCAGTCCTCCCAAATTTGGCCAAAACAAAGCCCGCGGTCCACCCACTGATGGCTCCGATTGTCAACTGCTTGGCCGACGAGGACTTCTTCAGGTCTTTGTAGTATTTGGAGACATAACTGAACGGATCATCGCTTGAGTTCAACACTTCAAACAATTCATCGCTATTACTGTTATTGCCTTCAATTCAATCAAAT